AATTATTATAATCATACAATAATATTGGCCTTCCCTGAACGTTGGTTGAACTTCCTTGAAGTTCGACAACACTTCCCTGAACCTTCCTGATTTTCGGCAGAACTTCTCTGAACTTCGGCAGAACTTCTCTGAACTTCAGCAGAACTTCTCTTAACTTCCGCAGAACTTCCCTGACCTTCAGCAAGACTTTCCTGAATTTCGGAAATACTTCTCTGAACTTCGGAAGGACTTCCCTGAAATTCGGAAGAACATTCGACAGAACTTGCCTGAACTTCATCAGGACTTCCCTGAAGTTCGGCAGGTCTTCTCTGAACTACGGCAAGTCTTCCATGAACTTCAGTATGACTTCTCTGCCCTTCGGGCCTTCCCTGAACTTGGAATCTTATAATTAAAGGTTTTATTTCAGAACTAGAATTATTATTATCAAACAATAATTGTGTTTATGAATATGGTCAAAATTTCAATACTTCTCATTTTTCTCATTTGCAATGCTTGTTGGTATTGGTGCATTTTGAATTTGGGTGTAGTTTGAACGGGTGTGGAGTCAATTTCAACGTAAAAGCATTAACTTTCTCCTTGGCGAATCGGTGTCGAATCCTTATTTCTGATTAATCGCACTAGTTATCGCCTCAAAATTTCAAGCGTACAAATATTAGCTCTAATCTAATCTAATCTAATCTAATCTAATCTAATCTAATCTAATATAATCTAATCTAATCTAATCTATTCTAATCTAATCTAATATAATCTAATCTAATCTAATACAAACGCAGCCAGTACGAGAAAGCATCCTGGAAAATGATTATATTAGATGAGGTCTAATCATTTTTCTTGTCTAATTGATGTTTACAGCATATCTGAGATATGATATAAACATCAATACGGCCAGGCCTACTACTGTATTTGCCGCAAAGATGATTCTTGGAAATGAATGAGAACATTTTTTGAATCTACAGGGGTGGAAGGATACGTGGACATACCGTACCAAACGCTCCGAGTTACTATGTGTAGTTGTGTGTAATGTTTAAATATTTGTGCAATATTGAAGAATCATAAAATAATGCAATGGAAAGATCTTACCGAATTTTCTCCTATGTTGGTAATGGTTCTTTTGCGCTTAAAAGTTTCGTTGGATGCATCCGCTCCTTCTTTATCATGGGGTTTGGGATGCAGTTCCTCGTCATTGCTCGTGGTTATGTGATGGAGATCATTTCTTTGACTAGAAATTGCAAGAATCATCAAAGCAGTGAAGGTTGATGTAAAATAATGCAGCAGCAAATTCTCCTCGAATCGCGATTATTTACGGAGATAAACGGATGGGTCACAAAATACTCCTCTAATCGTGATTTATGCCTTATTTACGGAGATAAACGGACTTAAAGATTTGGAAAAATCAAACACCCCTTTAATCGTAATTTAGGCCTTATTTCTGGAGATAAATGAGTACAAATATTTGGAACACCAAATACCTCTCAAATTTCTATTTATGCCTAATTTACGGAGATAAATTTGTTTAAAGATTTGAAACACCAAACCCCCCAGGATTCTGGTTATAAATGGGTTTAAGGTGAAAGTGGAACTTCGGCAGGCCTTCCCTGAGCTTCGGAAGGACTTTCTTGAACTTCAGCAGGACTTCCCTGAACTTTGGCAGAACTTCACTGAAATTTGGCAGAACTTTCGGCAGAACTTCTCTGAATTTCACACAGAAAAAAATTCTGAATTTTAACTATCGCGTAAAATCTCCCTTCGTTTAATGTTGAGCTACAGTTGACATAAACAAGGAAATCGTTTACAAGCTTGCATACAATATTGCTAATTTAAGCGATATCGTTCTTGAATTTACACGAAATATCGTGTAAATTTATGCCAAATCTAGCGTTAATTTTATGTGCGCTGTATCTCGCAGAAATTTGCATGAATTTGTCAAACGGTGCATCAGTACTTCCCTGAAGTTCAGCAGGCCTTCCCTGAACTTCAGTAGGACTTCTCTGTCCTTTGGCAGGCCTTCCCTGAACTTGGAATCTTGGCATTGAAGTTTTCAGTAGAATTATTATAATTATACAATAATATTGGCCTTCCCTGAACATTGGTAGAACTTCCCTGAAGTTCAGTAAAACTTCCCTGAACTTCAGCAAAACTTATCTGAACTTGCCTGAACTACGACAAGACTTCTCTGAACTTCAGCAGGACTTCCCTGAACTTCAGCAGGCCTTCCCTGAACTGCAGAAGGACTTTCCTGAACTGCAGCAGGACTTCCCTGAAATTTGCCAGAACTTTTGGCAGAACTTCCCTGAACTTCATCAGTACTTCCCTGTAGTTCAGTAGGCCTTCCCTGAACTACGGTAAGATTTCTCTGAACTTCAGTAAGACTTCCCTGTCCATCGGCAGACCTTCGCTGACCATGGAATTTTGGCATTGAAGTTTTCAGTAGAATTATTATAATCATACAATAATATTGGCCTTCCCTGAACATTGGTAGGACTTCCTTGAAGTTCGGCAAAACTTCCCTGATCTTCGGTAGAACTTCTCTGAACTTCAGCAGAACTTCCCTGACCTTCAGCAGGACTTCCCTAAACTTCAGCAATACTTCCCTGATTTTCGGCAGGCCTTCGCTGAACTTCGGAAGGACTTTTCTGAGCTTCGACAGGACTTCCCTGAACTTTGGCAGGACTTCCCTGATATTAAGCAGAATTTTCGACAGAACTTTATCAGGACTTCCCTGAAGTTCGACAGGTCTTCCCTGAACTTTCGCAAGACTTCCCTGAAATTCGGCAGAACTTCCCTGTACTTCGTCAGTACTTCCCTGAACTTCAGTAGGACTTCCCTGTCCTTCGGCAGGCCTTCCCTGAACTTGGAATCTTGGCATTGAAGTTTTCAGTCGAATTATTATAATCATACAATAATATTGGCCTTCCCTGAACGTTGGTAGGACATCCTTGAAGTTCGGCAAATCTTTCCTGAAGCTCCCTGATTTTCGGCAAAACTTCTCTGAACTTCTCTCAACCTCCGCATAACTTCCCTGACCTTCAGCAGGACTTTCCTGAACTTCTGCAATACTTCCCTGAACTTCGGCAGGCCTTCCCTGAACTTTGGAAGGACTTTCCTAAACCTCGGCAGGACTTCCCTGAACTTTGCCAGGACTACCCTGAAATTCGGCAGAACTTTCGACAGAACTTCCCTGAACTTCATCAGGACTTCCCTGAAGTTCGGCAAGCCTTCCCTGAACTTCAGTAGGACTTCTCTGTCATTCGGCAGGCCTTCGCTGAACTTGGAATCTTATAATTAAAGTTTTTATTTCAGTAGTAGAATTATTATTATTATACAATAATATTGTATTTACGAATATGGTCAAAATTTCAATACTTCTCATTTTGCTCATGTTGGTTATGGTGCATTTTGAATTTGGATGTGGTTCGAACGGGTGTGGAGTCAATTTCTTTCACCTTTAACCTTAAGGCAATCGGTGTAGAATCCTTATTTCCGATTAATCGCACGAATATTAGCTCTCATAAAACATACAATAATGAAAGTGGAAGCACACAAGGAGTTCCAATTTCATGAGCAATGTCACAACAGTCTGAGATTTATGCTCCAGAAAATTTGGAATGATAGTGCATATCAACCATCATTGTTGGACACTTCAAGAAAAAAAAAGTGAAACACAACACCCCTTAAACCGCAATTTAGGGCTTATTTCTGGAGATAAACGAGTTTAAGCATTTGGAAGACCAAATATCTCTCAAATCGCGATTTAGGCCATAATTACGAAGATAAATGGGTTTCCAGATTTGAAGCACCAAATACCCCTCAAATCGCGATTTAGCCAAATTTACGGAGATAAACGGGTTTAAAGATTTAAAAAAAACCCAAACACTCCCCAAAACGCAATTTAGGCCGTATTTCCGGAGACAATTAAAGATTTAAAGATTTCGAAAACCCACACAACCCTCAAATCGTGACTTAGGCCTTATTTCTGGAGATAAATGGGTTTAAATATTTGGACACCAAATATCCATCAAATCACGATTTCAGCCGGGTCTCAATATTTCAAACACCAAACACTTAAATCGCGATTTCGGCCTTATTTCCGGAGGTAAACGGAATTAACATTTGGAAATCATAAACACCCCTAAAATTACGATTGAGGCCTTATTTTCGAAAAAAAAAATGGTTTAAAGATGTGGAAAACCCTAACATTTCCCAATTGGGATTTTGGATTTATTTCTGAAGATAAAGAGGATTAAACATTTGGAACAACAAATATCTCTCAAATCGTGATTTAAGTCCTAATGACGGAGATAAAAGGTTTTAATGATTTGAAACACCAAGCAGATCTAAAATCGTGACTTAGTCCTTATTTTCGGAGGTAAACGAAAGATTTGGAAGACCCAGACACCCCTCATATTGCGATCTCGGGCCGTATTTCCGGAGATAAATGGCTTCCCCAGAAATCCATATGATTGCATTGGCTTGTGTCTTCTGACTCCCAGAAATTTCTTCCAACTTTTGGAAGATTCATCCCACTTTTTCGGTAAATGTCTAATAACCTTTCCTCAAAAACTTTTTCCAACTTCCATCTTCCACCTGTATTGTATTTCAACTTCACCGGTTTATGTTTTACTTATTTCCCTCTGAAATTTCTTCGGACTTCCAACAGAAGATTTTTTCGACTTCACCTCGAAGTTGCTTCCTTCTTCCCCAAAAGTCTTTAGGGCTTTCCCTGGAAGTATCTACTAATTTCACGGAAGGCTTTTCTCTGGAAATTTCTTTCCCCTGTGCTTGCGCCTACTTTCTCCGAAAGTATCTCCTCTCGACAAATTATTTAAATAAAAAAAACGTATGTCCAGTATGGTATCTATACTAGCTATTTCCCGGGAAGTCAAACTAGTTTCCCGGGAATCGAGGAATGCGTACCTTTTGTAAATTTCCCGGGTAGAAAACACTACGCCAGGAACAAGAAGAAAGGCCATTTTGCTAACCATCCATCTCCCTCATTCCAGTGGATGACCATCATCCAGTACCTGTGGCCGTGCCTGATCTTCCTGTCACTCTACATCCTCCGGAACCGTTTCCAAGCGGTCGAAATCGCCGACTGCCAGTTTCCAACCCGGCAGCTCCAGAATAATGGCATCCTTCCGTTCTTCCAATCGTACGTGTGCACCATCGAAAACGACTGTAGCGATCCGCGGAGATTCGAAGAAACCTCCGACTTTGACAGGGCCCCGGTGACGCCGGTACTGAAAATTGTCCAGATATTCCTCGACACACCGCAGCTGTACGATGCGGTGATTACACTGCCGAAGGATCGCAACTTTATCGGCGCCGTTATGTCCATCGTGACCAACGGGCGCTTCAAGGAGATCGAGAGCAACGCGGACCGACTGGTTCGAATGCTGCCGGAGCTCCAGCAGATGGTGGGCGGTAGCTTTGACATTGAGAAGGTATTTGCCGACGACCGGATGTTCTCCAACTCGGGCAAGATCCTGTGCGGGAAGCCGTTTCCCAGGAGCGATAATATACGGTTTGTGGACAATGTGCTGTATTCGAAAGATTTTAACGGAGCCGATCCGGATGAGCTGGCCGTGATGCCAACGAAGTACTGCAAACAACTCTATCGGGATGTTACCAATACGAACAATGGAAAGATCACGTGGAAGCAGTTGAAGCCGATCCTGCAAGGGAAGATCCTGTACGGGCCTTCTAGTGAGAGGAACGATGAGATTATCAATTTTGTAAGTAGCTGATTTAAGGGGAAGTCTTGAGCGATTGATCTTATTAGGGCATTCTTCTTTTACAGGCCAATCAAACCTTTGCAGACATGGGTCGACTGCGGGATTTCTTTAAGGCACTAAACACTACGGTGCAACTGCTGCACACAGATGAAGCGTTTCGTGGAAGTTTCGAAAACTTGATTGAGCTGGCCAAGTCTCCGATAGTGCAGATGATCGCCGGTGGAAACGTGAATATCGATCTGATCGAATCAATGCTCAACGGAATCCTGACCGATAAAACCGTCGCGGTAACGCTGGAGACAATTGCCAGCATATTTGAGTGTTTCTCAACGGATCGCTTCATCAAGGTCGAGTCGGAGAAAATGCTGGAGGATGAGGCTTTCAAGTTGAACCAGAAAAAGCTGTTCTTTGCGGGACTGTTCTTTGAAAATGGGACTACGGAGAATGAGATTCCTTACAAGATCCGGATGCGAATCGACGATACTCCGGTGACAGTGGAGAACAAGAATCGGTTCTGGTTCCCGGATCCGGAAGCCAGTTTTGAGCTGGATATGCGATACCATCGAGGGTTCATACAGATCCAACACGCTGTAGACATGGGAATCATTAAGGCTATGAAGAAGGAAAAGTTCGGTAGCGGAAAGAGGGCCAGTGAAATGGTGTCCAGCGATTTGGGACTGTCTTTGGGTGAAGACATGGATGAGGAGGAGGAAGAAGATACAGAAAAGGAAGAGTCTACTACGGAGGCTGTAGGTGGTAGTACGACTACCGAGGACCTAGATTCACTGTATGCAAATCTCAGTGAAAAGGTCAACATTTCACAGTCTGATTTAGCGAAGTTCAGCAACAAGTCATCAATCGATGACTATTGGGACTTCAGCGATGAGGACGAAGTGGACGAAGAGGAACCTCTGGTCTCAAATTCTTCAGCGGTTCGTAGTCGACGTCGACGCGCACCTCAGTTCAATCTGTTCAGTTTGTTCCTAGGAGGAGGAGGATCATCTGAAAAGAAAGACGAAATCACCTACAATGTCGCCGGGGAGAAGTTCTACACCAAACAGTTCCCGTATCCCAAATTCACCAAAGATCAGTGAGTATCCTAGAGCCAATCTTACCACAATTTATAACATATGATCTGTTTCAGTTTCAAAAAGGGTCTTTACCTGGCTCAGTCCATCCAGATGTGCTTCTTCATTGCTCTGATCGTGCACGTGTCTTCGTCAGTCCGACAGAAGATTTGGATGAAGGAAAGTGGCAACACGATGGTAAGGGAGCTGACGATGTACTTTTGCATCGAGAGAGTTTACGAACTGTTTTCCTGTTTCAGTTGATGCGTGCCATGGGGCTCAAATCCTACTCGGAATCCATTTCCTGGGCCATTACTACGTTGATTGAGCTGTGTATCGTCTTTGTGCTAGCACTGAGTATCCTCTACAGTGGAGGAATCCTACAACATTCCAGCAAGATCTTCCTGTTCACGTATCTACTGGTGTTTGGCGTTTGCTTGATTGCCTTCTGCTACATGTGTTCGATGTTCTTCGGCTCCGCGAGCATTGGATCCGTATCGGCGGTCATTCTATTCCTAACGACATTCCTACCTTATATCATAATCATCTCACTCGGAGCTGTGGTTAGCTTTGCGGGGAAATTTGTAGCGGTAAGTTTTGCCTAAAGATTGACAGCCTTAGATAGACTAAAGAACTGTATTCTTCTTCAGAGCTTATCGTTTTCAACGGCCTTTTGCTACGCTTGGCGGTACATTTTACGGCTAGAGCTGCAGCAACGTAGCGCGGATTTCATGGCCCTCAAGGGTTCATATCAAGAGAATGACCTGGCCTTCGGTATAGTGATGATGTTACTCGATGCTGTACTCTACTATCTGATAGGTTTGATCTACGAAAGGCTAACTCATGGTAAGTGCTGTTGACTATATTAGGCGGTGATCGATAACTAAGTCTGATCATTTCACAGAGGACACAACGTTCTACCAGGTCAACCGATCCAAGCTGGACAAAAGCATCGGTGCTGAACTACGTAATGTGGACGTCATCTACGAAAATGACAAAAAGGTGCTGGACAACGTATCCATAACATTTAAACGGGATGAAGTGACCTGTCTACTTGGACGCAACGGAGCCGGAAAGAGTACGATTATGTAAGGGTATTCTTTTTCCAAAAAAATTCCTGCGTCCTGATTAATTTTTCCATATTCCAGCAAACTCCTAACCGGCCAAGTCCTTCCAGTGGTGGGGGATGTCACCCTACCGTTAGACTACGACTTGATCTCGGGCCTGAAAAATAACGCCGAGAAGATCGGTCTGTGCTCGCAGAACGACATTCTCATTCCAAACCTAACCGCCAAGGAACACCTGCAGCTATACGCCCGAATCAAGCTAACTAAAGGCTTCGAAACGGAGGTTCAACGAACGCTAGATAATCTCAAAATGGGCAAGTACAAACACTACCGAGCGTCGGAGCTCTCGGGAGGCTTCAAACGAAGGCTATGCATAGCGATCGCTTTCCTGGGATCACCCAATTTGGTCATTCTTGATGAACCGTGCAGCAGTGTTGACACCAAAGCCCGAAAGTACATCTGGGAGCTCATTCAGACACTTCGGAAGGATCGAGCGGTGATTCTGGCAACGCATCACCTAGATGAAGCGGAGTCATTGAGCGATAAGGTCGTCGTGCTGGAAAATGTAAGTTGATTCCATGTATTATTGGCTATTCGATAACTCAAAATGATCAATTCTATAGGGAAAAGCCATCCTGGAGCAAAGCCACGAAGAGTTGAAAAATCGCTTCACGAACACCTTGTACATAGATCTGGTACTGAAGACGATGACGGAGACCGATCGAGCCAACTTGATATCGGACCTGAACAAAACCCTGGATCAGCAAACAAACATGCAATACGAGCTGGTGAAGCTTCCTAGAAACAAGCTGCAGTACAAGCTCACCTACACTGCTGCTGATCCGTCGGAAATTGAGTTCGTATTCTTTACCCATTCATACAACTTTACCCTAACGCCATCTTCCCTTTAACAGCCTGCAGTCCCTCTTCGATCAACTCAACCAGTGCCAAGACAAGAAACTAATCCTTTCCTACGACATCAAACACGAAAACCTGATGAACATCTTCAACGCCGTCAACTCTCACGAGACCAATCCTACCGAAATTCGGGAACCGGAAATTGTCTCAGCCAACGGCTTCCACGGTTCAAAACCAACCGAACGCAAGCTTGGCACATTACAGATCATCTTCAGCCTGCTTCACAAGCGTTTCCTTCACTTCCGGCGCAACTACCGACTCCTGATCTGTCTGCTCGTCCTTCCGACCTTGTTCGAAATCATCGCCATGTACTTCATGACCATCCGACCTCCGGGTGAACACGATCAAGCGATTGAACTGTCCACTGATCTGTACCGGAACTCTGCCGAATTCTACACTCGGACAGGTAATGGAACTAGTTTCCAACTGGACATCAATTCAAACATGCTGGCTCACTGCCCCGAAGCAGACTGCTACCTGTTCAACAATTCCGAAGATGCCTTCCGATGGATGCTGCAAACGACCTTTGAGTTTGCGGATCACCGCTTTGGAGGCTTAACCGGTCGCAAGGAGAAACACTTCGTTTGGTACAACAACAAGGGCTACCACTCGATGCCGGTGTGGCTGAATTTGCTGGATTCAGCAATCCTTAAGGCGGAGCTGGAGAACAGTAGCTACAGTATTCGTACCATCAATCATCCACTGAAGATTGAGGAGGACGAGTTGACCGTTTCTTCGATGTGAGTTTGTGGATAAGCTTTGAAAGGGTGGAATAATGATAGGTTTTTTATAGTCTTCAACAGGTTGCCGATGCCGGTATCTCGTTGATTTTGCTGTTGTCGTTCAGTTTAGTCTTGGCGGGAGCTTCCGTTTACATAGTTAACGAACGAGTACGTGGAGAAAAGGTGCAGCAACGTCTAGCTGGGGTGAAGTTTGCCCACTACTGGGGAGTTACCTACGTTTGGGATGCTATGGTAAGGCGTGACTTGATTAGCTCGGTCCCAAATAACTGATAACTGTTTCTTTTCCATAGATCTTCCTCATCGCCGTAGCGCTGGCTGTGATCGTCTTCCAAGTGTTTGCCATTCCGGCGTACACAGAAAAAGATCAACTCGGTGGCATCTGTCTACTGCTGGTGTTCTACGGATTTGCTTCCATCCCCGCGGTGCACCTGTTCGAGAAGCTGTTCAACGACGCCAGTTTTGCCAATATGTCGCTCTTCTGCCTCAACGTGATCACCGCTCTGGGAACTCTGACGACCATCATTTTGTTCGACATCCTCGGTGAATCGGAAACCTCGGAACATTTCCGCAACTTCCTAAATCGTGCATTCCTGATCCTACCACAACATGCTCTTGCAGATGGTCTGATCGAACTGTCCAAGAACTACATTCAAGCGGAGATCTTCAAGCGGTACTACATCAATTCCTACAAACCACTAATGACTATTCTGGAACCGCATCTGATCGCACTAGCCGTCATGGGCATAATCTTCATCTGCCTGAACATCATCGTTGAACGGAAGATTATCCAGCGGTTCTTCCAGGAGGCGGAATCCTCTCTCACACCCGTCTACGAGCTGAAAACCGTGCGGTCCGACGAAGCCGTCATGAACGGCAACGGAAAGAAGAAGTCACTGACTGCAGATCAGATTCTCTCGGTGGATCACCTCTCCAAAGAGTACCGATCGGGTGAAGCCGTCGTCAACGATGTTTCGTTCAAGATTCACTACGGCGAATGCTTCGGGCTGCTGGGCACGAACGGAGCCGGAAAGTCAACCATATTTTCGATTCTGGCCGGGGAACAACTGCAGAGTAGTGGTGGTTTCTGTTTCTTCTCTTCGGTGAGAACTAGATGGCTTGTAAACTGCGGTGTGTATCTAACGGTTTATTATTTTTTAGAATTGTTTGTCGTATTGCCCTCAGAGCAGTTTCCTAGATCCACTGCTCACCGTAGAAGAAGTAATCGAATTCTATGGTCAGCTGCGGAACGTCGAGAACATCGATAAGGTAGGTGATCTTTCTTGTGTTTCGATTGAATTTAGTTTACGAAAGTCCCGTATTCTTCGCAGTTGGTGATAGAAACCCTTCGAGAGTACCACCTAGAGCCGTACAAACGAATTCTGGTCAAGAATCTCAGCGGTGGTAACCGACGGAAGCTCTGCGTAGCAGTTGCCTGCTTCGGAAACACCGATATCATCCTAATGGATGAACCTACCAGCGATATGGATCCGGTTACCCGAGCCATCGTCTACCGAACGATCGAACGGTTAAACAGCCAAAACCGATCAGTTCTGCTCACATCTCACAGTATATCTGAGATAGATAAAATTTGCCAACGGATTGCGATCCTCAAGGACGGTTACCTGCTCACGGTAGATTCACCGGAGAGCCTTACCGAGCGGTACGGTAACAATTACCTGGTAACCATATACCTCGAGGAGAATAGAGAAGTGGATCTCATTAGGGTGAGTTACTCAAAAAATCTCTAACCAGAAAATATTTCAACCTCAAACTTCTCTCCCATTCCACAGACCATCAAGCGGGAGTTCAACGTCTCCGAGGACCTGGTCCAAAACAAAAACTCGTTGCAGTTCGTGTGCAAGGTACAGCCGGACCGGCCGCATACCGGCATCGAGAAACTCCACAAAAATAGTCAGGTTACGATCAACCTGAACAACAACACCGTCGATTCCAGTCCAGCGTTGACGGGGAGCGTCAGTGCACTAGTAGTTAAGCTTCACCACTTTGCCGAGAACAATCGATTACGGTACACGGTGGCACGGTGTCTGCTGGATCAGGTATTCGAGAACATCCTGCAGAACCACGAAGAGGAACACTCCAACGCTGCGTTCGTGGAAAACTGAAATGGAAACCGTCCCTTCCCTTTCCTTTCCCATCTCCACTAGAGGGCAAGTTACTTACCTACTAAGCTGGTTATTAGTACATAACTGATATGGATAATATTTTAAGACCCACTTTGTCAATTTTCCAAAACAATCCGAAGTTCTTTTCCGTTCCACTGAATAAGCAACGTAACAATAGTTCTTTTTTAAAGATTATCGATCTTTTGTTCGACTAGAATTACCTAAATCTGCTGATAGGACTGCCCGGCTATGGGAGCCATACTCGCGGCAGCGGCCACAGCTGCTGCCATCATGGCGACTGCGTTTGGATGCTGCTGCTGCTGCTGTTGTTGATGCATCATTGTAGATGATACGGCCGTCGAGGGAGGTGGCATCAATGACGGAGCTGGTGGTGGTGGTGACATGGGTGAATCTACCGGCATAGGAGACGGTTGGGCTAGGGAAATTTGATTCTCTGGTGCCAATGGGTGCATTTCCAGATGCTTCTTGAGTGACGTTTTCTGACTGAAGGTACGATTGCACATTTCACAACGATACGGTTTGATTCCTGGGGAAGGAGGGTCGGAAGGTCAGTGATCAATTCAATGAGTTACATGCAGAGCACGTACCTGTATGAGTGCTTTCATGTTCGATTTGGAACCGACGGCGGATGAAGGTCTTATCACAAAAGGAACATTTGTATGGCTTGATTCCTGGAATTGAAGAGAAGGGGAGTTATAAGCACAGGTCAGACTGGGAGAATCCTTGGAATACAACAGTAAGTCAAAGGTCTAGACTCACCGGTATGAGACGTCTCATGCCTCGCTCTGTTGGCATGATCTGCGAAGGATTTGTCACAATAGCGACACTTCCAAGGCTTATGACCGGTATGAGTCCGTAAGTGATATTGTAGGTGATATTTTCCCTGTAACGAAACAAACAAGAACACGATTCCAAATCAGATCTTTCGCTTCAGTACAATTCTTGACAAACCACATTTCCTCCCTCTCCAAACAACCACCCAATTACCTTGAAAGTCTTCTGACAAACGCTACATTCAAACGGTGTATCCTCCCGATGCTTGGAGGCGTGCTTGTTCAGATTGCACTTCCGCCGAAACCTCCATCCACAGACCGTACATGAAAAAGGTTTACTATCCGAATGAACCAACATGTGAACCCGCACGGCTTCCTTCGAGTTGAACCGCTTGCCGCAAATCTCGCATGAATACGGTTTCCGATTCTCATGATTCCGCTCGTGAACCAACATTTCGTAGCGATTCTTAAACTCCTTCCCGCAAACCGCACACTGATGGGTGGCACGATACATCCGATGCCGATGCCTGGTAAGAGCTTCCCGTTTTTCGAATCGTTTGTAGCAGACCGGACATTCGAACCGCCGCTGTGGATCGTCCGTGTCGACTTTGTTCCCGATGTGGGTGCCCTTTCCGTGAGTGATCAGAAGCTCCTCGGAGGAACAAGTAACGGTGCAATCCTTGGCACAGCAGCGTTGTTCCCGTTTGGACTTATCGTCGTCTCTTGCCGGTTCCATATGCTTCAGGTGGGTTCGAGCGTGCTGGTGTCGGTTTTGTGCGATCACTCTTGTCAGACAACGGAAACACTCATATACCACGTCCAGTCCGACGAAACTCTGCTTGTGAGCTTCCAGCGGACCCGGCTTTGAATACCGTCGAAAACAAACGTCACAGATGTTGGTTTTCGATTCGTTGATGTACTTCTTTTTGGTGTGGGAAGATTGACCATGCTCGATCAACTCCGAACGGTTGGTGAAAATTTTCAAACAAGCGCAGCACACGAAAGTGTTGGCATCCACTTGGACCGTTTTGTACAATTCTCGAAGACGAGCCTCCGGAATGGATTCGCCTTCGGACTCGTCACCCTTTCCAATATCGTATTCAAGCGTTCGGGGGCGAGTCTGACGTTTTCGTTTTTTTCGTAGGCGATCGTCCGAATCGGAATCGGTTGCATCTTCAACGATCTTTGATCTCCTTTTCCTTCGTGTTTGCTTTCGAGTCATTTCTGATTCAGAGTTAACTTCCTTATCAGAGTGATCGTCATTCCTTTCCTCAGTTTGTTCATCCAAAACAATCGGGGAACTGCTCCTTCCGGTTGCCCAATCAATGTCAAGTTCACTTTTCGTCCCCTGATCTTCAACATCCTCGTTCTTAATACCATCCAGCTGAATCGGAACGGTTTGCCATGGTAGTCTGTTTTGACTTGTATCATTGTCAGAGTCCTTGTTTTCTTCCTTGCCAAACTCTCCTTCAAGACCCTTTCGGAGCTTTCGGTCCGCAGAGCGTACCACCTGAATGAAGATGGTCGTCTGCTGGAGACTGCTCAGGCATGGACGGCAGATTTGCGATGGAAGACCATCGTCTTCGACTATCTGTGGTGGATATATTTGCTGTGGTTACGTAGGGTTGGATGGTCTAAAACGCACTCCTGGGGTAAAATGGCTCCACGGTGTTTTTCTAAGCTTTCCGATTGTCAATTCGTTAAATTGACTTGCAGTACCTACTTGTACTTGTAGCATTGGTAATGGAAAAGCAACGAAAAGCCACATGGGGCCATTTTACTCCTTATGGCTCAAATTGTGGGATCTTGTCAATGTTTTAGTTGTTTTCGACTGAGAAACTATAAAGATTCGTGGATTGTAAATCCATGTTCAATTTGGGTTTGCTTTTTTAGAGAACAGGTACCGTAAAGGCTCGAATTCCAGAATTCCACAAATCCGAACTCTTTCAAAAGTTTCCATTATGCTCAAAATAGCACGTAAATTGTATCATGGTATTTTAGTATCGTTCAGAATAATCATACATTGTTATTATGTTACAACAGTAGACGTTGCATTGATCGTAAAAATGTAAAGTCCGGATTAACGAACCGCCTGATATTCGGTTCATTATGTTATTAAGTATCAAAAGCCTTCGCGACAGTCAATTAGTTGAGCAATATCATACAATAATTTGTATTTTCATCTGATAAAATAATATCTGATGAACATAAGCGGTATTATCCTCAGATTAAATACCGATCACGAATGTCGGGCTGCATTAATTCCGACATTGATGTTAATAAATACGATTCTAAGCAAAACATTTGGCAAATCCTCCAATCAGGGCCAGTATAAAAAGTTGATCAAAGATGGAGCTTATCACCATAAGTATGTAGGGTAGGAGTGTATAAAACTCATATAAAAATCATCAATTTTGTAATTCGAAAATTATCATCTCCCAACTGTAAACTCTATGAAAACTTTTTTCAGTGTATGATTTACGCGTTGGACGAATTTCACACCAACTCGTTAACTCGTTGTCAGTAGATCAAAGAAGGCCACGCTGCGAAAATAACTTTATTTTGTTTTGCTGTGTCGTTTCCATTCTTGTGAAAATTTAAAAAATACAACTTCGGTTTTAAAATGTGTCAATTCAAAATACAGAAGTAGAGTGTTCACTCGGCTGTCGACAAAAGCAGGCCACTCTCGATGTGTGCTACGCGATCGTCTGTTTTTTCGGCAGCAACCATTGTGTGGTCCTCCTCATTGTTCTTCATCAGCAGTTCTTTCGGTCGATGCGTCGTCGACTTTGGAAAGCAACCGTTTCGTGATGAGTGTGTGAGTGCTGACCACGTTTTGCGTCCATTGCTGCAATGGACGCGCTCTGACCCTCGTTGGCGTACAACAATTTGCCATACAATGAAACCACTGGAAGTGGCTCCAGTTCTGATGGAGGAGGCTTTTTGGATAGCGGAAGATAAAGTGTTTATTGTGTTGTACCTTTTGACTATAGTTTTAAGATGTATTGTATAGTGACCAAGAATCCTCGGCTCTGTAAAGTTAATTCGGTTGAGCCTTATCAAATAAATTAATAAACAAAAAAAAAAAAAAACAGAAGTAGTGCTGAAAGGTGCATTAAGTGATAATGGTTAAATCCCTCCCTTTTTGTTACATGAGGTGCCATCTGTTCCAATTAAAGCGGACACTGAGCATAATTGTGTAGTACAGTCAACTTTCGCTAGTTTGGCTAAACCCATAGCCCACTTAATGAAAGACTTTCGTTAGTTGGGCTGAGCTGTCAAAGCTTAAAATTGCTTGTGGATACATCGATTGTCTATTATCATCAAAATCGTTTAGCAACTATCCAAATTGTTCATCCATGAGCCCCTCGAAAATGAATGTGCAATGTCAGAAACGACGTTTGACTTCGATTTAGGTGGGCTACTACAGCCCAACTAACGCAAGCCCAACTAAAACATAGTCCACTTTAGGTGATTCACTGTAGCGTCTTTTTTCGTGTTACACTTCGCAACTTCACATGTAAAAATAATAAGGTTTATGTTAAAGCACGTAGCTGAAACTACTACTTGTTGTTTGTTGCGGAGAAGCAAGCGATGTCTGAAATTTGCAGATGTATAAACCTCGTAGATCTTGAGTTGTGTGCTCTTGAAATTGAGAGGTGTGATAGAAAAAATGGTCTCTACAAGCAAATACCAAATTCGACTGTAGTTCGTACAAGAAAAGCGTTTTAGTTCAACCATGGCATAAGATGTTTGAAACTAGGGTTGAAATTACGTTGCAAAAATAATACATTTATCACATTTCAGTAGAAATTGTCATGCACTAGCTGGAAATCAAATAGTATGTTTGATCCAAGGAGTAATCAACTCTGTACACTGTGCCAAAACACAGTATGTCACACTTATCGGCACCGTTCGCCACTTTAGGACACACACTGACTATAGATACTATAGATTCCATAGAAAAACGGAGGAAAAGTATAAAGTAGCCAAACGAACTTTCAGTTAGTGTAGCCAAACGAGCATAACGTCATCATGGTGTTGTTTGAGGGAGAAGTATTGTAATATTATGAGCACAAAACGCTTTCCACACTCCACATTCCGACTAATTTCACGGATAACGCAAGAAGGAAAGATAAAGCAAACCATTCCTCGATACATTGTTGCAAAGATTTGCTTTGCACTGCATTTTGAACTTTTACGCACGAAACAAAACAAAACTGCACAACGAAGAGCTCTATGATGGCATGAACTTTTTTACGGATGCCAGTAAAATCATTTATTTTTCATGGTTGCCAAAACAATTTTTTGTGCCTCCGCTTAGCTATGGAATCTATAGTATCTATAACACTGACAAGTAGGATACAAACAATATAATACAAAACGGCATCACTCTTGAGTGTTGACGTTTTATCAATCGGTGCTAAGGTTGACTACTTTGTTTACCTCGAAGTAAATCTAGTGTTAGAAATTCATATTTCATACTTGAAACTTGAAACTGGTGAAACAGCGATTCAACCAAGGATTTCAAAATGGCAAACGGATACCCAACGGGTTCAAGGGTCGTTCCTTGCAACATTTATTTAAATACTGTAAGTATTCTCTGAACCATGCTCTCTTCAAAACTAGCAAAACTTAGATCGACTCATCCGATCCACAGCGAAAATCCTAGCGGCTCGCATTTAGAACATCTTCAAGTCGGGCCTTCCGAATCCTTCTTCCACACCATGGCCGGACGAGAGGGTCTTATCGATACGGCAGTCAATACGGCCGAAACGGGATATCTTCAGCGATGGTTGGTAAAATTCCTGGTAGATCTGGTCGTATGGTGCGGCGAGGGGCGATCAACTTCATAAATCAGCTGAATTGTAAATACACACTTCGGAAAATACACAAAAAAATCAAAATGCGTACACACTGAAACTAAAATACCATAATAAAAATACTCAAAAATACCTCGCAAATACTTTACACACGAAAAATACATTTCATAATGAATTTAATACACTTTAATACAAAAATACACTAATTTTAAAAATATATATATACGAAAAAATACAAAATACACCTTTTCAAGTCAGGTAGATGAATCGAAAATACTCAAGTTGATAGCCCCTCGTGGTGCGGTTCGATGGTGCGGTTCGAAATACAATTGGTGAAGTCGTTAAGTTTACCTACGGTGCCCGCCCGTTGCCTTTGATGATGAATCTGCAAGGAAACGTAATCAACCCAACAACATCAAGGAAGAAAATTGATCTTATATGCCGAAATGGAACTGTATACCGGAGATGGAAAAACACTGTCCGATCGCGAAGCGTAAAGCGACAAATCAAATCAGGTTCATCAAGACTTGAACTACATTTACAGTTTTGTTGTTATAAAACAAACAAAAAATTAAATAAATGAAAAGCTTTGAGTGTGTTAGTTTATTTCCTTTAAATTCCATTATAATTGCTTATCTTTTGACAGATACGCGTATTTCGTCTACTACTTGCAGACTACATCAGTGCCAAGTACTCAACACCACTTGGCACTGATGAAGTCTGCAAGTAGTAGATGAAATACGCGTATCTGTCAAAAGATAAGCAATTATAACGGAATTTAAAGGAAAAAACAAACACACTCAAAGCTCTTCATTAAATAAAGGTTAACATAGAAGTGGGCACCAGATTCAGAAATCAATCCGGTTCTTCCGGAATTAATTTTTATTCATTTCCCCTGCGTTTTTCGTATTCTTGCCAGTCATTAGCTGGAAAACCCCAGGTTTTTTTTATAGGGATGTAATTTGGAAATAATTTGGAATTTTGAATCTCCTTGAAAACTTAGTATACTAGTCGAATTACTGAACAATCCTGCATTTCTGGACAAATTTAAAATTTTAACAACATCAACTTAACATAACACGAATTGTCCTCACTGTTTAAGTTTATAATTTGTGTGACTTGGGCGGAAACTTCTCGATTTCTATGCAGTCCTACAGGTACTGGATAAAGCGCACTAACATCATCTAGTGAGTTAATTTTCAAGAAATTAGTCCATAGAACAATATTGGTGAACAAATGTATAATTATTGTGCTCAAGTTTCTCAAAAATGTAACTGATCTATAAATAGATCACTGGGTATTGGACGCTTCTGATCTAAACCAAGATCAATGGGCGTTAATGTGTTAAAGTTAACTCATTTCATCTGTAAAATATCTCATCGGACATCGAACACTTTTTTTGATGCCAAACGTCGAGAACTAGTGTTAAACTGATTGGTGCAAAATCACTCGAATTGGTTGTTTAAAAAAATCAACAATCAGAAACAACACCAATGCTTACGTTTCTTCAACAGATTCGTTCGAATTAATTTATATTGTAAAGTAATAGAACAAGTTTGGCCAAATTTATTCAGACCAATGAAACAGCACTGCAAACATCACTACTGATTGTAAACATCCTCAACAAAGACAACTTAAACATCAAAATAAACGGGTCTGAGGGAAAGCAGCAAAGGTATTTTCGACCGTGTGACTTAATTTGTCAGTTTCTTGCTTGGTAACCATTTTAAAGCTTATTCCGAACTTTACAAAATATATTCGTCTCATT